TGGTTGCAATGGCAGAGTCTGCACGCCACTTCAGCACTTGGCCTGGTTTGCTTTCTGGTAGGGGTGTGATTTTCAGGGCTCTCTGTGGGTGAGGGCCTTGGGGGTGGGGTCATGAGAATCAGAAGTGCCTGTGGTTCTTTTCTTTTCCTTTTTAAACAAACACACATGTCCATGTCCCTCCATAATTTTGATCCTACCCCACACTTACCACCCTGCCTCCTCCCTCCCACCTCATGTGTCCCTGTGATAACTAATTTTGGGAGCATTTAATGTGTGTCTGACCCTTTGAAATGCCTTATACATCTCTCATTTAAGCCCATGAGGTAGGTATTCTTAAAATTTGCATTTTAAAGAAGAATAGCATAGCTCAGTTACTAGTCCACTAGGCTTACACAACAAGGAAGCACTAAACTTAGAATAGTGAGCCCAAGGTGAGCCCAAGTTACTTAAAAACGCTTTATTTTTAAAATATATTTTTATTGTTGATAGTATTTAAAAAACATTTTTAATTAAGGTGTAATCACAACAAGATGCCTAAAACCTTAAGTCTGTATCTTAATCACCGACCCCTTGCCTCCTTGTTCCCCATCCTCCCCCCCTTCTGCCTGTGTAACACCCAGATCAAGTTTCTGTTGCCCAGCAGGTATCCTTGTGTCCGCACCCCATTCATTGCCCATGTTCTGATGTCTGTCAGTGTTTGAACATCATGGAAATGGAAACATACCCTATAGTCTTTTGTGTCCAGCTTCTTTCCCTCATTATTATGTCTATGAGATTCATTCTTGATGTTGTGTATAGCAATATTTCATTCTATTTTATTGTTGTGTGACATTCCATTGTTTAAATATACTACGAGTTATTTTCTTATTGATGGATATTAGTTTTTTTGTTGAAAATTTTGGCCATAATGCATAAAACTGTGAGCATTCCTTAATGTGTCTTTTGGTGGAAATATGCATGCACTCATTTCACATGGGTATATGTCCAGAGGTAGAATTGCTAGGTCATAGAGTCAGTCCATGTTTACTTTTGTTTGGTTTTATCAATTTACTCTCTTACCAGCATGTATGAGAGTTCCAGTGGCTCTACGTTCTTGTCAGGAGTTGGTATTGATAGTCTTTGAATGAGCTCCATTCAGGAGGGAGTTTGTTATGGTTCATTGTGATTTTCATTGTATTTCCCTGGTGAGTCATTATGTTGAGTCCAATTTCTTGTGCTCCTTGGCCATTTGTTTGTCCTCCTTTATGGTCTATTCAAGTTGTTTATGCATTTTGTTAATTGGGTTATTCATTTTTTTATTTATTGGTTGGCATTCTTTACATATTCTGGGTAATATGAGCCTTATTGGAGATATAAATTACGAATATCTTGCCTTACTCTGTAATTAGTCTTTTCACTCTCTAATTCTATCTTTTGATGAATGGAAGTCCAATTTATCCATATTTTTTTTTGTTATAGTTAGTGCTTTTTGTGTTCTTAAAAAAACCCTAAACTCATTGCCTTTCCATCTCTTGGGCATTTTGAGGCAGAAAAAAATGGAGGGCTACTGCTGTAGAAAAAAAGCCACAGTCAAACTGGACACTATTGGATTCTTGCTTTTTTTGGATTAGTCTAGAGTGGTGTTCTGAGCCCTTGTACGTATGATACACTCTTGGTTTTACAGAGCTTTTTACCGTTCAATCTCATTTGACCCCTTGCAGGAGTTCATTAAGGCACCTGCAGGAGGTACTTGAACATTTTGTTTACTTCTCCACTACATGTGGAAAAGAACTTGTGTTTTGATATTTCTTCTTGAAATGAAAACAAATCCTCTTGCCCTAGCCAGTTTGGGTAGAGCATTGATCTGTGGACTCAAGGGTCCTAGGTTTGATTCTGGTTATGGGCACATGCCCGGTTTGCAGGCTCAATCTCTAGTAGGAAGCGTGCAGGAAGCAGCCAGTCAATGGTTCGCTCTCATCATTGATGTTTCTCTCTCTCTCTCCCTCTCCCTTCCTCTCTGAAATCAATAAAAATATATTTTAAAAAACAAATCTTAAGTTTTCTGGTTACTAAGGCTAAGTGGCTCACCCTTCAGTCTCAGATTTTGTCTGAACTTCTTCTTTGCAGCCCTGAGTGGAAATTTCACAGTGTGTGCCATGAAGTTGATGTGACATTTGCAAGGTCCCTAAGATCTTGGCATGCTAGGCATTGTGGTCTCACTGTTTGCTGGTGAGCACCGAGCAGGAAGTGACTTGGAGAATACTGTCTACGTGACTCCAGTGTGGAGAAGAGGGTGGCTTTGCTCTCCAGGGCAGGGAGAACAGGAAGGAAAAGGCGGGGGTGGGTGGGAAGCCCATGGCATTGGGCCTCAGACTGTACATCAGGATCACCTGGGTAGTTGGTTAAAATCCAAGTTTGTTGGCCCAGTCCAGAAGTTCAGATTCAGGAAGGTGGGGTTGGGCTAGGAATCTCTGTTTGAAGGGAATGCCCGATTCTGAAATCACTGGGCCAGGAACACTTTAACACTGGAAGATCAGGTCCAGGGACTTGAGAGTTCTACAGTGGACAGTTGTTTTGTAGTCTTTTAATTTCAAAGCCTTAATGCTTTGTACTTAGCTGTTTGAAAGACGGAAGGGTATAAGCAATTCACTATGTCCCCAAACTGTAGGGTCATCTCTGTGGAATGGTGGCTGCCAGCTCTGCAGACACCCAGCGGGTCTGATACACTGAATGGGCCCTTAGTTCTGAGAATGAGAATTTCTGAGAAGAGGAGGGAGACCCCTGACAGGTGCTGGTGGAGAGAGAAGTTATATCTTCGGAGTCATGCTTGATTTAGGGTGCCAGTATCCACTATGGCCATCATAATGATGGGGAAAATGAGACATTTTTAGGGGGCTAGCAATCTGAATCTGCACCATTAACCTAATGCACATTCTTATTAGCCTATAGTCCAGCCTGGTCCTGCAAGATCTGTTTACTCTCACTTTAGAGAGGCCATAAACCATCCCCAGACAGAGTTATCAGTGCTGGTGCCAGGCCAGGCCTTTAGTTGTGGTCTCAAGGCCCCAGTAATGGGGCTCCTTAAGAATTTGCAAATAAGAGTGGAAAACCCTTATATGGGAGACAAAGGGCTAGAAAGATATAAAAAGAGAATGCTTCCTCCATGTTTTTGCTCAGGATTTAGAGAGAAACATTCTCCCAACTCCTGTGCCGGTACATGTGAAATGTCTAGAAATAAATGGGTTTTTCCTGCATATTTTTTCAGTGGCCTGGTAAATTCTGTAACAATAAGAATGACCGCCCTCTTGGGAATGAGTGTCTGTCCTATCATCTGCCTCGCATGCTCAGTGTACCATCTCATCCATCTGCTTCCCACGCTCCCGCCCACCCCACCCCTGCCATCCATCTCTCTCTCTCTCTCTCTCTCTCTCTCTCTCTCTCTCTCTCTCTCTCTCTCACACACACACACACAAACACACACACACACACACTCATTAATGAACTCATACATTCACACCCTCACACCAGTGCTCCTCAAATCCCCAACCCATCTGTACCTAAATATATCTTTGAAAACTTATTTTTCTTGGGGGACATTGAGGAATGATCAGTGAAAGAAGGGTATGTGATATTTAAAATATCTTCAACATAAATAGGTCTAGCATATTCATTGGAACCATGGAAATAAGCCAGGAGCAGTGATTGTTGGTGGGTTAAATGAACAGACTTTGGTGCTTGTGGGGCCTGGGCCAGTGGTGCTCAGGGCATGGCAGAGCCCCATGTGTCTCACTATTGTGCTGCTCTGTGGTCCTCGGCAGTGCTGTGGACTCAGAGGGTAGCAGGATCTAATTCTTCCACAGTGCACCTCTTCCTCCCGTTTAGGCTTTCTCAAACTTTCAAGATGAGAGTTTATAAAAGCAATTCTTAACTTTTGAGAGTTGCTGTCTTCTTTGACAATCTGATAGTTGGAGAAAAATATGTAGACATTTAGAGGGGGAAAGGTGGTTTATGGACTCTTTGGGACCCATCTGTGGATCCTAAGTAAATAACTGCTTTAATGAGCGTAGGTTTCTCCCAGGTTCATTTGTATGGCACAGGCTTCTCCTGGAGTGCCATCGGTAGTTGGAACTCCACAAACACCATTGATATTGTGTGTATGCTTTCTGGAGGATTTGTGCTTACTTTGAAAGAGCAAGCAGATTTCACTGAGAGGGTGAAAGAGCAAATGCATGTAAAACTTTACTATCTGACATAGCAAGTATTCACTTAAAAAATACTATCCTTTTGCCTTGGTCATTTTTGCTAAATGGTTAGAGCATCAGTCAGCACAGCACACCAAAGGGTCTTGGGTTTAGTTCCCGGTCTACTATGGCATGTACCTGAGTTGCAGGTTCCATTCCCGGTCTAGGTTGGGACACATGTGGGAGGCAACCGGTTGATCTCTCCCACATTGATGCTTCTTTCTTTCTCTTTCCCTCCCTCTTTTCCTTATACCCTCTCTACAAAAATCAGAGGAAAAAATATCCTCTGGTGAGGTGAGGATGAACAAAAACAACACAAATACTATAGTCTTACTATAAGCATAATTACCTCCATAAAAGTTCTCCATGTCAAAAGCAGTTTAGAAGCATTGAACTATTAGGAGATACCCACATTTCTCCAGCTTGGATGTTTCCCCCTAGTCACTCTGTGAAGCATTTTGGAGAACAGGAATGAATAAGATCTCAAGGAACAAACAAGGTCTAAAAGCATCTCTTTACTTCTCTGTGTCCTTCTCTGAGTAGAGTCATGTCTTCTGTGTTTCTTCCTACCTTCCTGGGCACATGGGCTTATAGAGAGGAATTTAGGACCAGGCCTTTGCTCTCTGAGACTGGATGATGGCTCAGAAAAGCCAAGAGGTGTGCCTCTCTTCCTTGTTATCTGTAGGGATCTCTCCTTCTGTGGCGTGGGTGTTTCTTTAAGTTCACCTTCGTCAGGATCTCTCTACCTGGCTTCATATCCTTGTCTTTCTATCTCCGCAGGCCGGGGGTTATCACCATGCAGGCTCTGTCGGAGGAGGATCGGAGGCTCTGGATGGAAGCCATGGATGGCCGGGAGCCTGTAAGTATAATTCAGGGAAATAGAGCTGGATTAAAGGTCCTGAGCTGTTTGCTGCTTCCCTAGTGCAGTGTGATTGTTGCTGGTGCTCCAGTGCCTTGGAGGGTCTCGAGACTCATGTACTGGAGGGAGTTTTTCATTCCTGGGCCGATGTTTGTATATGTAGATCTTGCTTCTGTTTGGGTGCAGGCCCTGAGAGCTGTGGCCTCTCTCTCTCTGTGGCGTGGGTTCTGCATGACATTTACCCTTCACTGAAACAGTTGTAGCACCCTTAAGGCTCTTAGAGGAGGCAGAGTCCAGTTTGGCTTCCTGAATATTTATTGATAACCTCCATGAAGTAGGATGCAAAGCATTATTTCAAATCCCATTTTAATGGATAAATGATCCTAAGAGTGTATATAGATTGTGCAGTATCTTTTCTCACCCCCTTTTGGTTCAGCCTCCCTTTGCCATAGTAGCCAACATCCCAGTATACACAGTGGGGTTGTCAGGGTCCATGGGAGGGGTTAAGTTTGGTAATAGGATCCATGCTCCCATTTTAGAGATGCTGGCCTCTGCTGGGTGGTGTAATCTTGTGGTTTTCCTGCATCTTATGACATATGAGACCCACGCAAAAGCCCTGGGGAAGTCCCTAGAGTCAGGGTAATCTTCTGATCTTGATGCCAAAGATATCAACCCCAGCGTTTAGCAAGTGGCTAGGTTGCAGAAATCCTGAGAGGGCAGTTTAACCATGGCCTACCAGTAAAAGATAGAAAGAGTCCACACTGTCAGAGGGCCAGTAATTATTACTTGCAAAAGTACTATCCAGAGGGGGTAAAATGTATGCAGGGGACATCAGGCCATGGCCTTCACTGACTATAGAACTTTCTGTGTCAACTGGGTATCTGGTATGGGTGATTCCAGTTCATTTGTGTGTCTCTTTTTCAGCCTACCCTGGTTAGCTGATCTATATTGATTAATTGACCTTTCTGCTCAGCTATTTTTTTATATAAATACTGGAGGCCTGGTGCACGAAATTTGTGCACAGGGGTGGGTGTTTCCCTCAGCCCGAGCTGTACCCTCTCCAATCCAGGAGCCCTCGGAGGATGTCCAACTGCTAGTTTAGGCTTGGGATTGGGCCTAAACTGGCAGTTGGACATCTCTCTCGCAATCTGGGACCTCTGGTTCCTAACCACTCTGTCTGCCTACCTGCCTGATCCCCCTAACTGCCCTCCCCTACTGGCCTGGTCACCCCTATTAAATTTTTAAAAATCTTATCCCCTTCACACACACAATTGTTTTTGACTTCCTTATTGGCTGCTCCCTCTCACACAGTTTTTCTCTCTCCTTTATGTAACACTTTTTCCTACTGATTTATCATTTATCATTATAAACTTTTCTGTCTTCCTTATTTCATACCTCTATTCCATCATCCTTTTCCCCATCTTTCTCCTACCCTCTCTCCCTCCCTATATTCCTTTTTTTTATCTTTATCCCTTCCCTCCCCTTTTCCTTCCTTCCCACCTTAATTTTTTTCTTCACTTTGTCCCTTGGACCTGCTTTGCTCCCTCCTCCTCCCCCCTTCCCCCATTTCTTCTTTCTTCCCATTTTCCTTTTAAGCTCTACCAGCTCTCCTTTAAAACTTTTCTTCTTTTCTTCTTTCTCTCTCATCCTACCTTTCCCATACATTCTTCTCTACTTAATTCTACTGTTTTAATATCTATCTATCTATATATCTATCTGCCTAATTATTCACTATCATTTATCTTTTTTTTCTGACTCCTTTTTAAAAATCTGTCCCCAGTTCACAACTATACTTAATTTTTATTATAGCTCCTACAGTTCATTGATACATGTCTTTCCTTCTTTAACTCTGCTCTCTACTTGACTCCTTTATAAATTTCTTCTTCCCTCCCTCCCTTCTTATAGCTTCCATTGGGGCAAAGACAGGGGGTGGGGGTGGGGGTTGCTAACACCCAGCCCAGGGCTCAGCCTCAGCTAGGTGTTTGCTGCCTCTCCTTCCCCCGCCTCCCTGGTCCTACTCCCATTCCCTGCCCAGGACACCCGACCTAGCAAGGGTGGCTGAGACCTGCACAGCCTGGTGCTGCTGCTGCCACCACAAAGCAGGAGTGCCTCGCCCAGAAGGCCTCTAACCGTCCACCACTCTATCCTGGACCCATAAGCGCCTCCCTGCCAATGACTTGCGCTGGAGGCTATCACCCTGCCTTTCGCTGGGCACACCTGTTCTCCTCCTCCCCCAAGGTCACCACTCCCTCTGGATGCAGCCCTGCGTTTCCTTCCCTTTTCCATTCCTGCGTTTTTTCTTGTTCCCTTTCTGTATTTCTGTTTCTCCTCTCAGCCTGTGTACAGGCCTGCCTCCTCTCCCTCTCTTTTCATATCCTCTCAGATTGTATCCTATCCTACCCCAGGCCTTGCAGCTGCCTGAGCAGAGGGGCGGGGACGCAGCCTGCTGATCCTATCATGACATGACGCTGTAACATATACTTTTCATGTTTATTATTAGTATAGATTATTAGTATAGATGGAATTCAGTCCAATCAAGTAAACATAAACAAATAACTAGTATTTGCATAACATCCACTAGTAGCATGATTTAAGAATTATTTAAAAATTTTGGCACAGTGCTAAACTCTAATCAAACATTATTTAACTTGAATTCTTTTCTTGGGCTAAAATGTAAAATATTCCTGATTTTTCCCTCATTATGTTATTATTAATAGAAACTCAAAACCAGATACACGTTTCTGCCTTAGGGCTTTGTGGGCACAGTAGCTGCTTGATTTCAAAGGCCTTTGAAAGCAGTTTCCTAACTAGTCCTTAATCGTTGCTATTGTCATCTACCATTACATGAGCACTTTTGTGTGTGTGTAAGGCACGTATTTGGCACATCTCTTAATCCATTTATCTTAGTGCCTTACAAAATAAATATTGTGATTCTATTTCACAGATGAGGAAACTGAGGTTAAATCACTTTCCCCAAGTGGTATAGATATAATTAGCTATTTTAGGAGGATACAGGATAGGTTGCTATAACAAAGAGACTTTGAAGTACAGGGGCTTAAATAAGATAAAAGTTTATTTTACCTTCATTGCTCAGAAGTGAGCAGTCCATGCTTACAGGGTTGTTCTGCCATCCTCAACCATGGCTTCCCAGGTTGTTCCAGTCATTGCCATTTTCCAGCCAGATAATGGAGATGAAAATATCCCAGACCGAGAAGGTGCACATATCACTTCCATTGGTCCATATATAATTGTAGGGCCACATCAATCTGCAAAGAGGGATGGGAAATCCAAGCTGTGCATAAGCAGCTATGGGCCCACCCAATCCCCAGGGCATCTTATCACTTCAAGGAAAAAGAGCAAGAATACAGTAGACTGGTGAAAAGTCTCCGTCAAAGTAGCAAAGCTAGAATTTGAATCCATGTCTAGTCCTAAGCATATTTGATTTTCATTTTAATCGAGAGAAATTTTCTCCTAAGAACCCTAAAGTTCATTTTTATAATACTTTCTCTGACTCTCTTGAATCATAGGGGAGGAAATACCCAGGAAGAAAAATCCTGTCAAGGCATACTATTCTTAGCATGGCTGGAAAGCCCACTATTATTGATGGTATTTGTTGTTTGTTTGCCACCAACTCCGTTTTAAGCCTCTCTCTCCTCCCTTTTCCCACCAGTTGATATTTGTTCTCCGTGTATAATTGGTCTTCTTATTAATCACTTCAGTTTTCCCATAGATTAACATCTGGCTTCTGCAGATGGAAAGCTGTGCGGTTAAAACATCTCCTTGCTTCAGAATGCACACAATAAAACAAGTTTAAATACAAAATAATTCTGTTTCTAAACATAATATAAAATTATTTTTCTCAGAGGAGCATATTGCTTGCATTTGAAACCATACCACTATGTGTTTTATAGTTCTCTAAAGAGAGAGAGATAACTACAGGCAAATGATGATTGTGTAATTGGCGGGAATATTAGGCTTAATTTTGTCTTCCATTGCTGAGAGCCTATAGGGAACATTACTGGTGACATACGCTCAGTAGACAATTAGAAACTCCAGTTTTAATCACCATTTCCCCAATTAGTTACTAGTAAATCTGTTCTCTTGGGAGTTTTGGTTTTGGTAAGGGAAAAAACACATTTTTTCCTAGTTGGTTTCAGAGTGTTCTCCTTGTTTAATTCAGGGAGATGTCAATCGTGACACCTCTCTTTCATTTTTATATTTATATCCCAGCTGATCTATGTTTGATTATTTAGTGTTGGGTTTGGGGAAGGGATCAATTAGGTTTTCCATTCTTTTTGTTTTTTCATGGTTCAAGAACTACTTAAGATGGTTGGTTAAAAAACAAACATACCCTCAATATACCTCAAATCAGTTGATTTCATCATGTTTTAGCTAATCATTATATAAAGTATAGGTTTTAGCACTCAGTGATATTCTAGTCTAAAGAAATGTCGAATGTCTTTATGCTATTGATGTATAGATAATGGAGGAAGAAATCAGAGTTGTGTTCCTACAGTGAGCATTATGTAATGTCAATTTGAATTCAAATGATGGAAACCCAATTCAGATTTGCCTGGGAAAAAGCTGGATTGATAGGCTTACAAAACTGGAAAATATTGGAGCCTAACTGTTCTGGCCCATCTGAATTTGAAAACTTCCATAATATTTGGAGTTAGTTTTTTCTTTTGTGTTGACTTCATTTCCATTGGGTTCTTTCCATGTACTGGTGATACCCTTCCTAACTATTCCAGGTGTACATCTTATTATTAAGAACAAGGGTTAGGAAACTCTGTAAGGGGCCAGATAGTAAATATTTTTGGTTTTGCAGCTAATTAACTTTGTTGTAACTCAAAAGCAATCTTGTATGTAAATGAATGGGTGTGACTCTGTTTTAATAAAACTTTATTTACAAAAACAGAGAGTCAGATTTCAGTCATGGGCCACTGTTGTTGATCCCTGATGTATAAGTCCAGTGGAAAGAGAGGTTATGTAATTACAAA